GTGCAGTGGCCGCTCTCGGCCACCGCAGCCTCGACCTGCTGGGCTCTGGCGATCCTTCCGTCTCAGCCTTCCAAGTAGCTGGAACTACAGGCGCGCGCCACCCCGCCCAGCTAGATTTAATTTTTTGTAGAGGTGATATTGCTATGTTGCCCAAGCTGGTCTCTAACTCTTGGCCTCAAGAAATCCTCCTGCTTTGGCCTCCCAAAGTGCTGGGATTACAGGTCTGAGTCACTGTATCAGACCCTATTTGTGTTTTGTTTTCTTTTGTATGCTCAAATAACTTACAGTTTAGCACAAAGTTTATTTTAGCAATCATAAATATTACCACATAACTGACATAAAATTCAGACAGATTGACACTGAGTTGAGAAAATGCTGTTACGATGATGAAGGTAAACATGGAAAAATATTAAAAAATTTTTTTTTTTTGAGTTGGAGTCTCACTCTGTCACCCAGACTGGAATGCAGTGGCCGCTCCCGGCCACCACAGCCTCGACCTGCTGGGCTCCGGCGATCCTTCCACTCAGCCTTCCAAGTAGCTGGAGCTATAGGCGCACGCTACCACACCCGGCTAATTTTTTTGATTTATTGTAGAGATGAGGTTTCGCCAAGTTGCCCAGGCGGGTCTCGAACCCGCAGGCTCAGGCAATCCACTCACCTCAGCCTCCCAAAGCGGGGGATTACAGGCTGAACCACCGAGTCCAGTGGAAAAATATAAAATTTAAACTTCTAACAGAAAGGTGAAATATAGAATAACATTTTTAGTCAGTTAATCATTTCCTGCTATTCTGTTGTATTATTGTTTAAAATTTATTTTTATCTTATTTTTTCGATTTATATTTTATTTTAAAGATGTGTATATCTTTAAAATATTAAAGGATTAGGTATATAAGTGGAGATCATATAGGTAAAGTTTGGGCCTCCCATGGGTCTCCACTTTACCTGGTTTGAGACTGTATGTGTCTTAATAGCTCCTTTGTGCTTGCTATCCCTTACCTGTTTTCGCTATTTTCTGCATAATTTTTTCAGATCTACTTTTCCGTTCATTAATTCTATATCACCTGTATCAAATGTACTGTTAAACCGATTTCGGTTGTTTTTAATAGTTATGATTTTCAATTGTATAAGTACATGTTGCTATTCTAGTTTGCTGGATTTTTAAAGCTTTTGTTCATCACAGTTTAATCTATTGTTTCATTTCAAGCACATCAGCTTTATATGTTGTGACTTACAATATCAATATCTGAAGACTGTGGGTCTGATTCTGCTGACCGCTGCTTCTCCTGACTCACCCATGGTGCCTTTTTTCCTGATATATTTTGTGATTTGGGGCCATGATTTATAATTCTTGAAACTTTACCTCTGGAATCTCTCTGAGATGTCTGGGTTCTTCTAGAAAAAATTAATACTTTCTTCTGCCATGTGACTGGGGCCACTATCAGTCTTGCACCACATTAAAATCATTGTGGGCCAGGCACTGTAGCTCATGCCTTTAATCTCAGCACTTTGGGAGACTGAGGCAGAAGGATCGTTTGGGGTCAGTAGCTCAAAGCTGCAATGAGCCATGATTACGACACTACTCCAGCCTGGGTGGCAGAGTGAGATTTCGTCTTAAATAAATAAATAAATAAATAAGCATTGTGTTTTCTTTGTTTTGTTTTTTTACCATGAAAACAGTGGAAATGTTGGCTGTAGAACCCACATGAGGGCCAGCTTGTGGTTATAAGTCCCTGGAAAAGTTTCTCCTTTTATTTAGTGCCATGGTAATTTTCCTTTTAGTTTCTGGGGAGATGATGGTACAAGAGAATTTCATCCACTAAAGTATTAAAAGCAAAACAATTCACTTGTTCCACAAATGTCCATTTTGGTTACCTTTAGACAGCCCTTACCTTAGACAGCAGAACATACGAACGATAGAAACAAACACCTTGCTTCACTCATAGAGAACTAGAAACAAAAATACACTGAAAGGCCCATTCTCACACATCTCACATCCAGTTAACCCAAACTCGAAGGTCTTGCGGCACACTGTTGAGGGCTGTGGGAGATGGCACCCAGGCTGTCAGTGGACATGCCCAGCGGGGCAGCCCCTGAGAGAACTTTGCAATTCCTCACATCACTTCTGCACTTACTTGATCCAGCAATCTTACCTCTAGGGACACATCCTGAACACACACTGACACATATTCAAGAGATCTACTCTCAGAGTAATTTATTATGGCACAATTTTTATTATTTTTTTAATTTCTATTTATTTATGTATTTATTTTTTGCGGTGGCATACGCCTGTAACACAACAACACTTTGGGAGGCCGAGGCGGGAGGATGGTACAATTTTTAATAGCTAAGGACTAAAAGCAACTCAAGGGTCTCAAGTCCTAAGTGACCTGAGTAGTGCTAAGAGCTGAAATGTTTTGACATGGGAAAGAGA